CATTTAGAAGACATGTTGGGCTATATATCTATGAAAAAAATCGGTATATCATTACGTGAGGTTCCAGAGATATGAAGAGGTTTTCCAAAGATCCGCTGAAAAACCTATCTTCGAAATTTTTTCGACCTCGATTTTCGCCTGTGAAAAGATTGGGAAAATAGTCCTCTTTCCATTAGTGAAAACCGCAACTCTTATCTATGATCATCTTCGAGTTATTAAAGAAACGACAACCTGCATTATATTTTGGTACGGATACTAGTACTGTGAAAAACTATAGGATCAGCAGTCTCGTCCAAATTGCTTTCACAGTTTTATTATTTCTATCAATGTTGATGATTATAGAAGTATATCATGAAAATCAGTTTCTCCATACCATAAAAGAGTTCTTGATTCGCCCTTGAGATCAAAATCCATTGTCATAAATCTAAGTCTTTGTAGACACTACGAATTTTATAAAAAAAAGAATGTTTATTCATAAAAGGAAAAAACAACGAAACATTCATAAAAATATGTATAAATATTGTCAACATACAATTATTTGAAAAGAATTATAGAAAAGGTCAAAAAACCATATTCAATAGACATTAACGTAGGAAAAAGCAAAAAAAAACATTTAATGATAAAAGATCTATCAAATAATTAACAGTACAGTTTTCTTTTATTGAACAAAATAACGAATATAGAGAATAAATGTATAAAAAAGAAGAAATATTGATTGACACTGGTTGACTATTTACAGAATTGAAGATATACAGTAACCGTAACGTACAAGTGTAATTGGTGTGAGGTAAATCCTTTAAAAAAAGGAAAAGATTATTTAACTAGTATTACTACGGCATGAGCAGCAGGTGAACTTTCTTTATTATACCGGTTTATGATAATATAAAGAAAATTTCTGATATATTTCCTAAACTTTACAGAAATTCTAGCTATGGTAAGACGTTTACGTTTTAAGCGAAGCCAATGCATAGCATATCTAATAAGAAGGAGACTAAAAGAGAAGACCTAAGAATGTTGAAAAATCTTAAATAGAAGAATTGGTTCTATTATATTATCGGTAAAGTTGATTCAATGTTCGTCTTTGCAAAATTCTTTAGCCATATTAAATTGAAGAGACTTGTACAGAATAATCATCTCTGTTACTGTGGCGTGAAAGATGATTAATCTTTGATTTAATATGGCTAAAGGATTTTGCAAAGATGAACATCGAATCAAATTTACCAGTGATCGAACAGAATCAATTCTTCTTTTTAAGATTTTTCAACATTCTTAGGACTTCTCTTTTAGTCTCCTCCTTCTTGTTTTCTATCGTTGAAACCTATCGCTGAGTTTTTAAAATTCAAGTAAACAATTTTTACTCGTCATCTCACTCTGCACTGGAAATTCAGGTGGATAAAGTCGAACTTTTTTGCATACTATACGTTCGCTATATTATGAATGATGAAGTGACAATATAAGTGAGCAAAATTTGAAAAATCTATAACTTTGATAGACTCTGTATCACACGGCTTTTCTACTTTGTGGACCTTTTCCTCCTCTCATGTCATCATCATCATCATCACTCGGCTGCTCTCAAGCAGGCGACCACGATCTTCTTCCATTTGTGCTCACTCTTAGCATCATCTACAATGTCCATCGCTTTCCAATACTTCTTATCGCGAATACCATTGTTTAGCAAGCTCAACACATAACCAAGATAGTCCTGTGGCTGCTTCCCTGGATTGTTTGTACCATGCATTGGTTGATATAAGCCAAATTTTCTCAAGTACTCAGTATCTAAGCGTCTACAAATATGTCCTACCCATTCAAGCTGTCTTTTAACAATTGTCTTTATCAGCTTGTCCACACCTAGTCTGTTGTATATGGTGACGTTGGAAATATGATCTCTACGCCTAATTCCAAGCATTATTCTATAACAGCTACTTGCAAAACTATTTAGTCTGCGCTTCATTTTTTCCGTTATTAACCATGCTTCACTGCCGTATAGTAGGATGAACAGGCAAGATGTTTTAAACAGATTAATTTTGATGGCATCTGGCAAATGATTACTTCTCCAGATTTTTTCCAGTTTCCAAAAAGCTGACCATGCTTGTCCGATTCTTATGTTTACGTCCTTTTCTGATGATTCCATGTGTGCTCCGAGATATTTAAAGTCCTGCACTCTTTTAAGATCAACACCTCTCATGTAAGGTTGTAGAAATCATATCAGACTATTGTAACGGCTTTTGATCACAGCTGCGCACACTTATTCAGTTATTAAATCGATTTATAGCCAACAAATTAGAAAATATTAATCGTTTTGTAAAAGCAGCATCCATATAATAAATTATGGATGCTGCTTTTACAAAATGATTAATATTTAGTTATTGAAAACCATAGTTTCGCTATCATTCTAAATGTTGATTAGTCTAGGTATTTTTCCTATCTTTAAAGTTTCTTAGTCTTCTAGATTTACCTTAAATATTTTAATGATGTCTAATATATTTTTTATAGTAATGATTACATTCATCAATATGAATAATTTTCAGTTCAATATAATCGCATAATAGAATATATTTTTCGTGATTTTTAGCTGATATATATCTCAGTTTGAAATAAATTGTTGACATATCATAAATCATCAATGTACCCATTGTATGTAAAAACCAATCAGAATTTTCATTGGCAGCAAACCATTCTTGTTGATACATCTTAAATATAGTATTGACACAATAATCAGCATAGGCATGAAATAAACAAATGACACCATTTCGAATTGATATATTTTTGTATGTAATTAATTTTAAACGACATATTATTTGATATGTACCTGGTAATATCGATTTAAATTTACCTACTATATAATCACCAGTAACAAAGTCGTCACCACCATGGAAAAAAACAACGTTTTTTTCTCTTATTGAATATAATGATGTTGTCTCTTTCCATTTTCGAAATAAAACAGTATCAATAGCATATATACGTTTACAATCAATTAAATAAAAATATATTAATTTGTGTAATGAATGATAATACGTACTTTTTTTATAACTATTGAATTTATAATAAGATAAATTTTTATTAACGAAATCAATTGTTGTTGCCATATTTATTTGTTTCTTATCATCAAATCGAATAGATTCAAAAAGTTTTGTTCTTACATATGCAAAATGAAAATTAATATCATCATTTAAATATAGAAACTTATATTTACTTAAATCCATTTCATTTATCAAGTTAAACTGATGTTTGATTTGAATTTCATCTTCATCTGTCCGCAATAGAAAATGTTCATCATCCACATTATTCTGCATGAATATATCTTCAAGATAATGTTTTCCTAATTTCCATCCAAATCTAGCATATATTAAATGTGACCAAAACTGATCCGTGTTTAATATATTATTTAATTTTTTACATGTTACTGATAAATTTATAATTGCTGATGGTAATAAATCTTCATATTTAAATATTTTATACCATAGAATATCGGGTAAATTAGACCAGTCTTGTTTATTCATCTGAAGAGAAAAAAACGAATAAAGAAGTTTAAGTTGTTTCATCAAGCATCATAACACAGAAATGATACGCTTTTGATTAAAATCTGAATTTCTTAAATAGTAACAAGTGAAAAAACGTTAATTGTCTTTCAACTTCACAGCTTTCTATTACCTTTCTAAAGTGTTCAAAAATCTAGTTCAAGTTTACGTCATAAGGTTCTCGATAATCCGCCTTTATCTTGCCTCTAAGAAATCAGTGAGAATATATCAATCAGACTTCAATGAAGAATCTCGGTTCTCTTTTACTATCTCAGTCTAGGGATGCACCAAATCAGAACTCATGTTTGAGCGTTCGAGTTTGAAAGTTTGGACTCAGCTTGGAAGTTAAGGTTCCGATTCGAGCTCGAGTTCACGTTCGAGTTTGGGTTCGAGCTTGGTTATGATTGCTTATGGATTATTTTAGGTACCACATACTTACGGTTTTTATTTAAGACTTTAATAGTGTCTCTTATCTTCCCTCTATCAATTCAACAAGCTTTCATTTCAGAAAGGTACAGTTGTTCCGTCTAGTGTTTTACCTAGGTTTCGTTTTTCGAATGAGTAGTTGAAATTTTTGGAAGGGCTGTTGGCTAAAAAAATTTTACTAAAACAAAATCAATTGTTTAGTTTTGGGTGGGCGCCGCCCATCTGGTCCACTCACTAGATAAATCACTGGTTCCGTCGGTAACGTGTTTTTCAGTTAAGGGCCCCCTCCCCCCTCAGAAATTGTCTCCGCCATCGTACATCCGATCTTGACGAAATTTTCCGTAAATGTTATGCACAATGAGTTACGGGAACGAAAAAAATTTTTTGTCTCCAAGTCTTACAACAACCTCTAAAACCCGAAAAATCCTTCCGAGTTTTCTAAAAATCCTCAATTTGACAAAAAACTAAGACCTAATTCAAAAATTGGCGCCGGTCAGTCCATGTAGTTTCTTTTCCTCTTTTAAACAAAAAAGAATAAACTCGCTACGACAAACTGCTATTTTGGGACGCACTGCTGCTGTAACTCTTATATAGAGAAAACGCTGTATAAAATACTCAATTTTAGGGCTTCGAGGAAAATGCCTATAACATTTTGATACAGGCTCATACAGAGTTGTGCAAGGTCTTATTTTGATCAGAAACGTTTGCTCTACAAATCGATGTGTTTAGAAAAATTTTGATTCCATAAGTATCCAGGAAAAAGCTATTATTTGAAGATCCGATTTTTCAAGGCTCCTAGAAAACTTGCTCAAAATCCCCTAAAACTCAGTTCTGTAACCAAAACCGATACAGATTCTGAGAGTAGACACTTCCGGCTACCTTTCCATGTGCTTATCTCAAAATCGATCTTTTGATAGAAAAGTACAATTTCTGAGGGAGGGACCCTTAATGTAGTTAATTTTCTAGCTTGGTTATTACTCATTATGTCTAACACGAGATCTAGCGAATGTCAAAACTTAGAAAATGGCACGAGAAAAGAAATTATTAATTTCTTTCAAACATCAGTCAATGTGAAAGCATATCATAATCAGAATATATATCCCAGTTGGGATATAAAATATATCCCGATCGGGATATCTGATTTTTTGTATATCCTAATCGGAATATAGTTTCCTCACAGTAGAACCGTAGGTTAAAACCGCTAAAAACTGGTTAATGTGATACTTGTACTGCAAAGATGATATAGAACATAAAAGATCAGCTGTTCTTTCATTTATATTTTTGCAGACATCAAATCTTGTACGTTTTATATCCCGATCGGGTCATAGAAGTCAGTCTGTAATCATCGGTGAAAAGTAAGTTGCTTACAGGAAAACATATTGTGACGCAGTCTTGCCGATCTTTTCGATGGCGAAGTCTAAACTTTTCGACAGCGTCGGATTTTTTCAGCTAACGAACTTTACTGGAAAAAATAGTGTTTTATATCTCGATCGGGCCATATAATTTTTGACAATATTCCGATCGGAATATAAGTCATGCTTCTCCACTGTCAGTCCTTGTTTAGCTTATGTTCTTCACTGTATCATTCCATTTGTTCGTCCAGAGCCGTAGCAAAAAAGCAATGTTAGACTCTTTTCACATTGCACATTCTTCTTTTCTTTCTTTTCTGTGCATAGAAAAGAGAGAGCAATAGAAGTCTACCATTTAGCGCATCTGTATCTTTTTCTTGATATCGCATGAAGATATCTGTATGTCTAACATAAGGGTACGTACAGAAAGGAAAGCATAATCTGCATGCGGCGTCAAGAAAACGATAAAGATACACTAAATGGTAGAGCTCTAATAGAAAAATATATGCAACCATGTCTTCG